ATGAAGAGTGACTCGAAAAAAACAATGTTGGTTATCGAGCAGCGACACCTTACGAAATAAGCAAAAGATTTACTCAACAAAAAAGGTCGGGAATCACGTGGTTTAAGATTTAAAATGATTAAGGTTTATTCACTTATAATACATTGCTCCCAGCTCTGTTTACTTACCAGTTACCGTTGTTGAGTATTCGGTCTCCATCGTCGGGCATTTGAGATACTTGTACTGCAATTGAGCGAGTTTGTCACCAGAATACACGCCAGATATCTTCAATTTTGCTGGCATTTCTGACAGATGAAACCATGTGTATTTGTCGCATACGACACCGTCTATATCCGGTCTTGTGAAAGTTGCTGTACTTTTTAGGCTGCATCCCAACGGCTGATAATATAGACATTCAACCACTGGCTGCCCGCATATCAAACCTATTCCTGAAAAATAAGGGTTTTTGATGAATATAAAATATTCTGCTGTTAACAGTTTAGGTTTAGAGAAAAATAACTCTTTAATATTTCCTTCTTCGTTTTTTTTTAGTTTGGATAATAGACGTGTGGGTGTCGCTTCTCGACAACCATCTTTTCCAGTGCGCTTGCATTTTTCCAACCGTGATATTCACAAATATATATATAGGCTATAGTTGGGTTAAATAAAAATATAGTTGTACCTGGCAAAGACAACCAGCCCCTGCAGCCTATGTAGTTTTTCTCTGATATCCATCCATACATCGACACATGTTTGACAAATATAAAGAGTGTGTGGTTGTCCTTATATTCAGCAGGGAATCTCCATGTCTTAGTTGTGGAGACGCTAACGCTTTCATATGTTATATCTCCGGATAGTGTTTGCAACTTAACATCATCACCCAACCCTTCACTCAACCGAGCTGCAAAAATGACTGAAAACAAACACCAATAGCAGTGGTTCCCAAACTTTTTAGAGTTGGGACCTACTATTTATTACCACAGCTTATGACGACCAATTTAACTTTTTATGACATAACACAGAACACAGCAATGGCTAATCATCGCAAAACTACCGTGTTTGCTCTAAAATAGGACCTGGCCTGAAAATAAGACCTAATTTGATTTTAAAAAATGATTTTAATTAAACTCTAACCTTAAAATAAATTTAAAATGTGTGGGACAGGAAAGGTTCAATAACCCGAGGTAATGTGAAGATCACACCTCTATACTCAAGATTGTGTGATGTCACAATCACAATTATGATATTCGTCACTTGATTTTTGTATAGGAAATACAAATAAAAACAATGGATGTCGGTTTTTATATAATGTTTTAATAAAAAATTATAGTGTTATTTTTGAAAAGAAAATAAATCTAAATTCTGTCTAAATTTCGGGGAAACACGGTAAGAAGTGCTGTACAGTGTACAAAACTGCTATGCGTAAAAAAGCCACAAGGTCATTCTTTGTGTAGCAAATTTTTGTTCCTTTGAGAAGATCGTAAAAAGGAAACTTTTACAGATTGGAAATTAATTTCGATTCAATTTTTATTTTATTTTTTTGAAGATTTACATATTCGAGTCGCCACCGATCCTAATAACCAGTATAATTAATCAAAGCTTTCTACATCCATTCACGACCCACTAAGATTCCTTTTGCTACCCACCAGTGAGTTCGGTTTACTATACGTCCCGGTTTAGCAAGTTTTAGGTTTTAGCAAGTTTTTCCGCCGATACGGCGGTAGACCTAATTATCCCGGTTTTCAGTATGGCAGCCATAAAAAATTTTCCTATTTGATACTATTACAAAATTGTTTTTTTTTAACGGAGGCAGCCGATTCACCACTGATTTGCGTCTCACTTCACTAGTTCAGTTAAAAAAAATTGTCATGTCATATTTATGATATAAAGCAGGGGTGTGCAACTTTTTTCGCAGGCGGGCCAGATATCAACAACTGGGTGAAACCGCAGGCCGCACCTTCATTTATTGCATAGGCCTTCTACTAGTTCCAGGCACAAGACACTCTTATGACATTACTAAGGGTCGTTGCAGAAATAGTGAAAAAAACGCATACATTTCTGAAAACTGTTATTCAAATTTATTATCACACCGAATTTAAACGAATTCAGTGAGAAATTTGCTGCTGGATTCTTTCCACCACTACTTTTATCCAAATTTGCTTCAATTGAAGTGCTAGCAAGTAGACATCCATTTTCAAGTCCTCGTCTTTCAGGCGATTTTATGACGCTCATTTCAGAACAAAATATCCCGAAAAGTGCCATATTTTAGACCATGACTTTTTTCGAATGTGAAAAGTTATCTTGGTTGAGATGTTTTTGGTAAAAATCGCCAAGATTCATTTCCAAATAGTTTGGTGTCAAATCAACAAAATCAACTGAAAGGCTGGAACCAAAACTCATTTAGCTTTAGTATCTCTTAATATTAGGAGATATAGGACAGTGTAACGTCATGGACATTAAGCTTTACAACGCAAACGGAACCAGATTAAACTAAATTAAAAATTCGTTTCGCTGGCCGCACGCCATTTAAAATTGGTACTTCTCCTAGGGCCGCACAATTTTCCCTTACGGGCCGCATTTGGCCCGCGGGCCGCACTTTGCACACCCCTGATATAAAGTATGAACCATGATATAATTTAACACCCAACTGTACTGTCGACAAATCATCATAATGCCGAAAACAAAGTGCAAGTTTTCTAATGAGTTCAACGACTTCTATTATTTGGAGCAAATAACAATACAGGATATATTAATAGGATTCACAGCTGATTTTGATGACCCACAATGGTATGGAAAACCTTCAAACTAATACGAAGCCTCTGGAATCGAACCAAGTTTGGGTTGTCCAATGCGCACTGACCCGTTTTTTTTGCTTCAGATATATTGTAAGCTTATATAGATTATAGTTTACTAACATGAACTTAGCAAATTCGTTTTATTAGGACTAGATTTAACGGAAGTCTCGAATGACGTATACAGGAAGTAAAATATATTTTGATGCGAAATGTGAAGTCAATTTTTATGAAATAGTTCGTTAAAGATCATATCGGAACAAAGTCGACATTGAAAATTAAACAAAACTTACCAATGAACATCAACATCAGGTGAATGTTTCGTTCCATTTCTGTAATATGGCAACCGTGCTATTAGCGCTAACGCGGATTTGTACTGATACTCGGTCCTAGGTAGATATAATATAAGTATACATAGAATGAAGAAAAAAAACTATCAATGCAAGTATGTGGACACAAATATCGCGCATCGGCATGGCAAGGCCTTACAAGGCTTACAATATACCGAGTTTACTGAAAGAAGGTCTTCGGACAAGCAATAGGGAAACATCAAGTCGTTTTGACCCCTTTGCTAACACTAGGAAAAATATTGGTCAATCGAGGCAAGATTAACCTCTTTGTTTTTTTTTGAAATATATTTTTGAAAGAATTTGAGAACTAAACAAAAAATATTAACCCCTTTTGCCCCCACTGTGGGACATTATTTGATACAATTTGATCAAGTAATGCAATATCAACCTTTATGCTACTGCGGATAAGATTTGTGGATCAAGTTGTGTTAAAGATACTTTTTACACTTTCCAGAATTAAATGTTTGAAAGCGATTAGTGCATTCGCTGTGAACAAAAGCATTTTATAGTACAAAAATAATCACCCAAAAACAGTAGAACTTAAGAAATTGACCTGACTAAAATATTCTGCTACACTGCCGTACATACTACTCTGTCTTGTCGTCCATATAGGAGACTACCTTGTGTTACAAGCGCTTGCTATTTTGATAACAATATGACATAACAATGATTTCCTTGTATCATAGTGACGTCACATTATTGTATCGTCGTCTAGGAAAGATTAATCGTCTTCAAGTATATCCGGTTCGGTGATTCATTTATTGTTGTGTGCGTTTACGTCATTGGGTATCTCCTGGCTGTCTAAGCAAAATAAAAAGCTGAGTGTGTATTATGAAAACATTCTAATAAAATTGGAACTCGACAGCTATGGTAAGCGGTGCTTGAGGGCAATGTTCCCTCTAATTTTTTGTAGTATGTGTGCGCAGAAATTTTGGTGTGTGCGCACTTTTTTGGAAATGATCAATATTTGTGCAAAAACCAATGAAGAAATTTTGGCGTTCTAACCGGGTAATGGGTGGGCCAACAACAAACTTTCTCAACCTGCCATCCGAGCACATTGTTACATTACATCGAAATGGTGACCGTACATTTGAACCCATGTACATTTGAACCCATGCGTATATCCACGGGTTCAATCTATATGCGTGTGCTAAAACCCATGGGTTAGGGTTAGTATGGGTTTACCTATCCGTGAAACAAAAAAAATTCCATAGGTGCAATAGCATACAGGTGCAATTGTCATGGGTTCAAATGTACGTGGGTTCAAATGTAATGGAACCCATCGAAATACGTCTGTGCGCAGTAAATCTTTGCGTGTGCGCAGCCTCTAAAAGCTGTGTGCGCGCGCACACGCGCACACCTTAGAGGGAACACTGCTTGTGGGTCTTGTAAGCAGGGTTTCTCAAAATCGACATTCAACCCCCAACCACGGCGCGGTTCTTTGGGGGCAACTAGTGAAGACATTTATAATGTAACATTTGTTATGACTACAACAATTTAACGTTAATTGATCGTGACTGTAAGCATTTGTCTCACAATATTGTTCACTGAAATCTTCTAACTAAGTTAGTCTAACTCAGAAGAATGGGGCACAACATAGTACAAACACCGCTATTAGGCGTCCACAAAGGAGCAATAACGGCATTAATAAAATTTGAAAGCGGTGGCGTCGGAATGTGGCAACAAGCCTTTGAGGGTCAAAACCATCCCCCTTGAAATGTAAAAAAGAGACTCAACATTCTTGAAAATCCACTTTCCGGCTACGACCCTGTATGTACGATACAACTGAAAATTTTATTTTATCATTTTCTGAAACGTAAATATTACCCGATAAAAATAGTATTGCATAGTTTACACCTAAATTGTGATATATCTACATATCAAGCCGCTTTGCTTTATCAGTTCATCCAGTACATCGTCCAAGACTGGTTGGGGATTATTCTTAGTAGGCGAGATATATAAAAACGGGGGCAGTATGGGTATGCGTGTTACTCGAATAAACATAGAGTAGCAACGTTTTGGCGTTCATTATTACAAAATTATTCATGACAAGGGAAAAGCCAACGGCTGGATCATATGCCTGGTAAGGAAGTTGTTAGCTAGTTATTTATGAACCATGCTATACACAACACTCGAGCTAGTCTGCTGCGAATCGTCTCCCATTCTGTCGAAATTTTCTCCATATATGGCATTGACCACGATTTCCCGGGTGTTTGATTCTTCCGCCTCAGTTACTTTGACATCCGGGTTGCGTGAGGTGGCCTTTGACCTGAGATTGAATATATTATATCGAGAGATTAGGCTACACCAGAATCTGCAATGTTCATCACGCATTTTAAGATTTATCCCATGAGAGTGTGAAGTGTTCTGTTAACTCTTCAAAACAGAGAATAGTTAAGCAGTTAATTGCCGTGGATCAGTGCTGTCAACCTTTTATTGAATAGTGCACCCTTTTAATCTTCACTCAAAGACTGGTATAACCCACCTACCTTATATTAGTCGGTAAAATTTACCTAATAACAGAATCAATGCTCAAATAAAAGGACACGAAGATCCAATCACTACGTCAAATAGTCTGAGGATAGAATTACATTATTTCTTCACAAACGCCTCATATTACAGAAAGGAAATGAGGGTGCTCTAAATATCTCATTTAAGATTTTTCGTAGAGAGGAAATTTCTAATGGCCAAGTTAGACCGTAATATCAAGCGGATCCGGCTAGAGTCTTTAACGTCTTAAGAGCGTTTCAGGCTACGAAAAATCGCTATGTATGATACAATAATTTTTTTTACATTTCGAAAGGAGGGAGGGTTCGACCTTTAACCCCCATGCTCGTACAGCGCCTAGTTCCAAGTGTAGACATAAAACCTATATTTAAAGCACGGTTACCATACTGCTGTTGCCTCATCTCAATTTTTTCTTGGATCATTGGTGGGGCAATAACAGCATGATGACCAAAGCATGGTAATTTTACTAACCGGTTTCGTGAAATGACGATTCCGAGCACCACCCACGATATGACAAGCAATCCTATGGCGATTGCCAGGCCAACCACCAGTTCGGTTTTGCCATTGAGCATCTGTGGTGAATTGTTGCTTGTTACGTCATTTGCCGTCACAGAAGAAGTCTGATCGGTAGATAAGTCTGTAATTCAGAATACAAGTTTGGTGAAATGGAATAATCTACCATCTGACCAGTGGTTCTTAAACTTTTTGAGCCGCGCCTCCCTTCGAAAAATTTTACAAACTTCGCGCCCCCCTCTTTTGTCTTTGAAAAAATGCTTTTGTGATGGGCAGGGTTGCTTTATATTAAGATGGCGCTGTAAGAGTGTTGATCTCGTAGCGTCATTGCTCAGATTGTTTAGGCATAAAACACATCGGAGTTCAACTTCGCCATTCACTGTCGTATGTATAAAGCCCTACTCAAATAGTGGTCATCATACATTCTCCTTTCTTAGCTCAGTTTGCAATAGCTGGTGAAGTCAAACTAAGTTTTGAGTAAACTAAACACCCCAAAAAAGATGTGCTTTTTGCGCTTTAATTTTTTTTCTGCCCAGATGTTTACATAAGACACGTAAAATCTCAATAAATTGTTTACTTCATCACTATTGAGCAATGCAAAAATTATTTACTGTGTGTTGAAAATACATAACAATTACAGACTTCTTAGTTGCCTAACGTCTCCAAAATTCACTACCAATACCTTTGGGCAACCACCAGGTTCAAAAATACAGTTTACAAAATGGAGAAGTTCAAATGAATTTATGTACATTTTCAGCATAAAGTACAGCAGTTCATTTTAAATAGTTATTATGCAGGTGGACGTTTCCCTGGCCCTTGACTGCTGACAAATAAAGTCGCTAATGACGTTTGCGATTGCATTTTGTTCAAATCTCGATTGTTTTTCTCGTGAAGTGTTATTTAAGCCGTAAATTTTTTATTTCGGTGTTTATTCTCCCTAAATCACAAATTTCCCTCGACATATTTTTGTGCCGCAAAGACAATGATTTTTTCTCGCATGGAACCATGACACCTGTGAGGAAAACAAGTTAGTTTCTATTATATAATCTTCAGTGATGAGATGCTAAAGGTAGAGTAAAGAAGTGAATCCGCAACCAAAAATTTCTTGATTGAAAAAGCGGCATTATAAAATACTAAAAATAAAACGGACAACACTATGAATTTTGTTTTGGGGTGGACCGCGACAGATTAAAAACTTTTTCTTAGATATTGCAAATCTCATAAATTCCTTGTGCACATCTGTAGTGTTCTAAAACAACCGACTTGAAAAAAAATTTACTTCGTGGGATTTTATCGCAGACTTGGGAATATCTCTAACAGTGATAACTTAAAATTTAATCGAGTGGCAACATTGCGATGAAGTGGAGTAAGAGTTGCAGGGGCAGCTCACATTGGTGTAATTTTCAATAATACGAATCAAAACAAAATGTAATCGGTTACTCTGTTACATATTTTTATGTCCGCGGATTGCCGTGGTATTTTGGACTAATGGTGCTTTTATTTCATTCAACGCAATAGCAGATTTAATTTATCCCAATTAAATAAATATAGCAACCATTTTAAATATGTATATCGCTCATGGGTTGATTATTTTATTCAACCGAAAGACCATTACACATCAGTCGAAAAAGTCGGCTCTTTTAACGAGTGGCGCAATCTCGACGACTGACTCAGGAGCCGTAACGCGGGGATTGCGAGTCGATGCACATGTATTTTTCACATACTAATATACTTTATATGTATTTTCATTGTGCTAAATTATATATACTTTCTGGAACTTTACACCAGATCTTTCTAGCGACGATAACGAATTCGCATGAGCGGAATAAATATTAAAACTAAATATAATCGGGCAGTTGACCACACATTATTATGTCCGCGGATTGGCGTGGTACGGTATTTTAGATCGGTAATGTTTTTTTTTGTAGTAAGTCGCCGCAACCGCGAGTTTCCTTGAACACAAATGAAGTGAAATAGAGAGAAATCCTTGTAGTTGTCATAGATTGAATACTACGAGACAGCAAATTTATTATACCGCGAAAAAATCGGTATTTTTAACGCACGCGGAGACCGTTTCAGGAGCCATTACGTGAATTTCCGATTCCATCGTGTGACCTCTCGCGTCCCCTAAGGGGGGCACGCTCTCCAATTTAGAAACTACTGATCTAAACCTTAATGTAAAGTGGAAACAATAATAATGGGTGAGTTTCAAGCACTGAATAGATTTGAGCTGCACATATAAGGCGACCCAAAAACAGAACCTATACATTTCTTAATGACTTCTATGAAAATGGAGAAAATTTATATGACATTTGAATTTCTGTTTGTACCTAAGAGTGTAAAAGTTTCAGCAACCTATGGCGCTTCGTTCAAAAGTTTTGTTCTTTCTAAAATATGTTCCATATGACCTGGGCGAATTCCATTTTTTTTGTTGCTCATCACTCTATATTAGATTAATCTCAACGCCGTCAAGGAAACAGCTGAGCGAAATGTGCTTTCTTTTTAAAATCAGAATCCAGCAGCATTTACACCTGGCCTGATTAAATTATGAAATTGCGATTAACTTTAGTTTTGGAACGAGGCTTATTGTTTTCCACTTTTGCTTTTATAACACTGTAAATATTGTTTATGAAATGTAACATTTACGTCACACTTACAAGGCCCGCTAGTCTAAATGGGCAACCTTTACTGGCCCTATGGTCCAAAAACCTTGCCCATCCTTGATTTACACTCATTTACGACCCGTAATGAATAGTGTTGTCGTTTAACCACTGGTAGACTTGGATGATGGAGTAAACCTGTGCCCGATGTTGAAATAAATAATAATTTTTATATTACCATTCAGGTCTCAAAAGCTGGTTCACTTACCGGTTACCGTTGTTGAGTATTCCGTTTCATTTCTTCGGCATTCGAGATATTTGTACTGTACTTGAACGAATTTTTCACCGTGATACCATTCAGATATACTAAAAGACCGTGGCATTTTTGACAGGTGAAACCATGTATACTGGTCGCAGGCAACGCCGTCTATATGCGGTCCTGTGAATATGCTGGCTGTGTTTTTCAAAATGCATCCGACAGGTTGATAGAACAGACATTTTATTTCGGTGTTTCGACATGTCCCTGCTATTCCTGAAAAGTTTGTTTCAATTCCAGCTGCAGTTAGTTTGGGACAAAAACAAAATGCGATGCAGCTTACTTGCGATGAAGTAGACTCGGGATGTCCAGTGGTTCCAACCAAGGTACCACCAGTACAGTAAATTTTCATTTGAATCCAAGAGTCTATATCAGGGGTGGGCAAGGTTTTTGGACTGGGGGCCAAAAATTTTGCCCATCTGGACTGGCGGGCCATGTGAGTGTGACGTGGAAAGTTAGATTTTATGAACAATATTTACAATGTTACAGAAGCAAAAGTGGAAAACAATAGGCCTCGTGCCAAAACTAAATTTAATCGCAATCTCAACAAATTCCTTGAGCTATTTTTTAGCTAAAACATTAAAATTTGGTTTTAGTTTGGTTGTAGCAGCATCAGGGGCGCCAGAATAAATTACCCAACGGGCCGGATTTGTTTGCCCACCTCTTGACTATATTACCATACGCATATTGTTTAAATGTAATAATCCTAAAGTGTTTGAAACTGTTATAAAACTTATTTATAATTTTAAGTATCATTTTGTTTGGTAAGTAATAGGTTTGCTGGATATATATATATATATATATTCATAGTTTATATAATTCAGACCAATAAAAATAATAAGTAATTATAATAATTGTTCGGGATATTTTCGAGACTTTGGATGTTTCATTGAGCTCCACCAAAAAGGTTGTGAATCACTGGAAGGAATGTAATCATGGTAAAGAAAATATACAGCGTACCTGGCAAATACAACCTGCCTCTGCAGCCCATGGAGTTTCTCTTTGATATCCATCCATGCATCGACACATTTTTGATAAATATAAATAGCGTGTGGTTACTATTATAATCAGCAGGAAATTTTCAAGTATTGTAATCAGAAGTGTCGACTCTTTCATAAGTGATTCCTCCCGATCGATTACGCAACTCAACATCAACCTGGGCTCCTTTCACCCAAGTTGCAAGTAATGCTGAAACAAAAACAATATCAGAACTTTTAGTCCTTCTTCATCCATGGAAGAAAGTCCATTACCACAGCTTTGTATCAGGGCTGAGCAAAGTTTTCGCATAAGGGCTCAAAAATTGGTGCTCCCGTAATGGAACCGAGATGGCGTAAACCGGAACGTAGTATATATACCAGGTTAGGCCATAATTTCAGGTACAAATCGAACTACGGCTAGTCCCCAAACTCGTAATAAAAATATAATAAGGAAAATTGGAATAAAATTATGGCCTAACCTGGTACAGTACACATAATACGTTCCGGGTGTCCGCCATCTTGGTTCACTTACTTCAGAAGTATCCAAAAATTTGCCCACCTAGATTGGCGGACCATGTAAGTGTGACGTAAAAAGTCATATCTCATGAACAAAATCAACAGTGTTACAAAAACAAATGCGGAAAACAATAAGCCACGTGCCAAAACTAATTTAATCGAATCTCAACAAATTCCTTGAGCAATTTTTCAGCTAAAACATCAAAATTTTGCTGTAGTTTGGTTGTGGCAGCATCAGGCGGGCCAGATTGAATTACCCAACAGGCCGGATTTAGCCCGCGGGCCGTAGTTTGTTAATGTCAGGCTTCGTATGTTTCATAGACTTGTAATCATCTGAGTTATGGCAAGCGTGTCCTGGAGCCTTACGAAATGCGCGAAATGTCAAGTCGACAGTCAACTTTGCAACAAAGTTTTGGCAATACAATATGACGTACGTTGATCTTTTCTTGAGTAGATTTCGCGGAAATGTTGAATGACGTAAACAGGGAGTACTTATATTTTGGCGATGAAGTAAAGTCAATTCTTACAATTTGTTAATGGTCATATTGCATGCACCAAAGTCAACGAAAATTCAACAAAACTTACCAACAAATATCAACATCGGGCAAATTATTCGTTTCATTTCAGTAATCTGGAAACTGTGCTGAGGAGTTGTTAGCGCTATCGCGGATTTGTACTGTAATACGAAGTCCTAGATGTAAAAATTAACAATGTCGTGCACTTTTCATAAGTGAAGGACGAATAAAAATTTTTATACAGAAAAATCCTTCTTTGTGACTTATTTGCTGGTTTTGGATAATATACTTGGTTACTGGGCCGGAGTCGAAAAACTCAATATGAAAAACTATGAATAAAAACAGTTTATTTACAAAATTTATTCCTACAGCAAGGCTAACGTTTATATAATAATAATAAGCACGATGTAACAATCGGGGTCATTATGACGTTATTTACATAGATATCTTCAACCGAAATTTATATTCATAAAAAATATAGTCGTAATATCGGCAGACGCAAAGGCGCCGAATGATATACTCCGGTGTGCCGGATCCGGACGGCAATTTGCCCACCCTGTCATATCCTAATTTATTTTCTATACTGTATTATAGAAAGCCGTCGCCAGCTACTTTACAGACTACATTATCGTTCATGAAGACAACATCGTGTTGCGAAGTTCCTCAGAAGAGAGTATATGACAATAAAGTTATTCGATTTGCAATTGTTTTATGGAAACACAACTGAAAACTGACAAATAACACGCAAAACCACGAAAACGAGGCAATGTTTACAACCGTGCTTGAATACCTATCTGTCTGAGCGAAAGAAGTGTCTGAGCGTCTGTACAATTTGCAATTGTTACAACATTGTTGACTTATTGCTGGTTGATCATTGTTACGGAAATCTATGCTCGGGGAAACATTCATACTCTACTACCTATCGTTGATGTCGACTACCTTGTGTTATAAGCGCTTGCTATTTTGATTACAGTGTGACAGCACAATGATTTCCGTATACACTAATGCCGTCATAATAAGGTTTCGTTTTCATGTATAACATGCTTGATAAACTCTTAACTCGGTGATTTATTCATATTTATATGCAATTGCCCTGTTGGATCTTGACAGCCTTAACAAACAAAGATCTGATTACACATTATGAAACATTCTTGTAGTATTGAAACTCAACATCTCTGGTAAGTGATGCCTCTGGATCAAAAATAGCGTTACCATATCTGAAAAAACAAAATCCCTGACAAAATTTTAATTTGGCACGTTGACAAATTTTTATGACATCTATATCTCTGAAATCAATTTCGCGGACGCGCAATATCTGAAAACTCAAGGATTTGTAGCAGGGTGGCACGATGTTCAAAAATCTCTGACATTTAAAGCACTAACATTTCTCCCTGACGCAAATTTGACCATTAAAATCGCGGACATGTCCGACAACGCCAGTCTGAAGCGATGTTTCATAAGCTGGGCATCCGATGCTTTTTATGGTACTACCAAGCGGTTTTCCACGAGCAGACCCTCACTATGTAACATTTGCGATGACTTCACACTAATTTCAAGTTAATTAAATGTGACTGTAACCATTTGTCCACAATATATATCTGCCCTAACTTAAAACAGTATAGCATGACACTACTATAAGGACCATCATTGCGAAAGCTCATCGTGCCCTGCCCCATTAATTTCTTTACATCCCCTTATAGGGGGTGAACACTCCTCTAAAATTTCAGACAGCCCCCTAATTTTCAGGTTTGAAAGCATACATCAATTCTTAACGCAAATAAAAATGTAATCAAATAATCAGAAAGTGGTTCATATGCCGGTGAAGACGATCAGTCAAATACGTAACACATTTTTATAGGTTAAAAATAGTTTTATCACCAAAAACATAATACCTACCCCCCCCCCCCCCCCTAATATAAAAAAGCTTGAGAACATACTGCCCCGCCCCCGTTTACGAGGCTAGCGGCGTTGCTATCATAAGCAATTTCTCACAATCCCCATCCATCTAAAATAGCCTGATGTACATCTATCTATATCTCTGCTCTATTCGCAAGCATTATGTGCATTGCGTGGTACTTCCTAAACCGTTCTATCGGAAATTATCTTTTGTGCGTTCCTCATAGCCTTCGAGAATTGATCATAGAATTACTCTTAATCAGACATGGTCGATGACTGTTGCTGTGATGACATAGAGCTGAGCCATTCGCGATGACTAGATTATTTCAAAGTAAATTAACTGGAATTTGTTAAATTTTGTGACATTTATTGTCTTTCGTTTGTTGGGCTTTTTGTAAGCAATGAAGGAATTTCATATTATCAAAGTGAAAGCCAATAAAACGGCGTAACGATATGGCAAACCACGACTTCTCGTTTAGTTACCAATCCATGTCGGGTATGAGTTAGGCCTGGGCATTTTCGAATACCTTCTGATTTCAGAATCGAATCGAATATTTTTTTCGAATCGAATCTCGAATACTTGTAAAAAAAAAGGTAAGTATGTAAGAAGTATGAGTATAGTTGACCAGTTATTTGTCTGGTACTCACCTAACCTCCAGCTGGGCTCAAATCAGAGATAGACTCACCTTGATTTAATTAAACACGTGATTGCCGTTCAATTAATTATATATTCGAGTTGAAACAAAATAAAAAAAAGTTCAGTAAAATCAACAAAATTTCACAGATAACAAGCAAACACGTTTAATAGACATTAAAAGAGAAACAGAGCCCAAACATAAAAACCGGCAGTTTCATATCAAATACAACTGAAATAACTGGACTTTGACTAGTAACCGGATGAAATGCTTTGACTTGCTATATGATGGAGCCGTTATATTAGCTTTCTGGGAAATAGCCATATCGATATATAAAAGGAAATAAGTCATACTACAGACAATTTGATCAAAAAAGGCGTAAATAATGACGAAAATTATTTCACAAATATGGTTTACCTATAGAATTTATATATACCGGTACCAGTATCTGTAGACGTACAGAAATAGCTATAACAAAAAAATAACTAGATGGCGGTAGTGTGGTAAGAACCTCCGCTGATGATGAAGTTATATTTTTGGCTACGGTTTTTTGTCGACCTTGCTACTACAATGACACTTCTATCGTTGAGTTTGGCTTGGCTTTCGATTGAAATAGAACATAGTAAATTACAAGATGATGCATTTTTGGTACTCGCTTAGTTTGTGTACCAGGTTAGAGTTAGGGCATAATTTCATTCCGATTTTGCTTATTTTAGTTATATTAAAGGTACGGCAAACAAAATTAGTTACCTCCATATTGGTACATACACTTCTGGAGCGCTCAGTTTAAACCCGCGCAAGGTAATCAGAGATGCGATGGCCAGGGTGTCTCAATCGCTTATCGCGATGCATCAGACGTCAAGCTGTTAGTGTACACCGTGAAATTGCAAATGACTCTTTATTTCTGGACCACGCTATACACAGCACTCGAGCTAGTCTGCTGCGAATCGTCTCCCATTCTTTCGAAATTTTCTCCATATATTGCATTGACCACGATTTCCCGGGTGTTTGATTCTTCCGTCTTAGTTTCTTTGACATCCGGTTTGCCTGAGGTGGCCTTTGACCTGAGGTTAAATATATCATTTTTCAAGAGCTTAGGCTACACCGGATTCTGCCTATGACGTTTCAATGCCATAACAGCTAGCTTATGCAAAGAGAACAACGCATGTCATAAGATAAACAACCAAAATTTTTGTTCCTGCAAGTGGCAACTACTAGAAAGCCTATGCTAAATAATGGTGCGGTACACGGTTTCACCCAGTTATTTGTATCTGCCCCACCTGTATTGATGGTTGCACATCGATTAGAAAACTTATCCTAATCTAAGTAAACCACGAAATGGGACAAAATTGCGGTGGGCAATAGCAGGAAAGTATCAAAGCATCTCTTCACTTTGAAACACTCAAGTTATTTTAATTTACAAATATTTTTTGGAAACACAACTATAAAGTAACGAATACCGCGCAAAACCCACAAAAACGAGGCAATGCTTATAATCATTCTTGGATATCTGTCTGAGCGGCTGCACCAATTGCAATATGAACGACGTTGCTGACTGGT